TCCCTCCCTCCCTTCTTCCCTCCCTTCCTTCCTTCCTATCTTTCTTTCTTTTGCTGGTCCTGGGGCTTGAACTCAGGGCCTGGGCGCTGTCCCTGGGCTCTTTCACTCAAGGCTGGCGCTCTACCACTTGAGCCACAGCGCCACTTCTGGTTTTCTGGTGGTTCATGGGAGATCAGAGTCTCACGGACTTTCCTGCCCGCGCTGGCTTTGAACCGTGATCCTCAGATCTCAGCCTCCTGGGTCGCTGGGATGACAGGCGTGAGCCACAGGTGCCTGGCTCCTTCCCTTTCATTCACGGCTGTTTTCTGTCTAAATAACAGTGCCATGGATTTTCCCCTTCCCCTTTCTTCCCCTGGCTGGTGGCATTTGTGTTTTCAGTGTTCAGACACTGGCTGGTTTTCTACTCATTTTATTTTCCTTGTGATGGTGTGAGAATTGACGGGCTGTGGGCTGGGTGTGTGTGTTTGGCTCTCGAGGAGAGGTCAGGAAGCGTTCAATCAATAAGAGAAAAAGAGAATAAAAACGATCTGACGCGTTCAATTGTATCAACTTGGTAAAATATGGTTTCGTGGACCTTAGCCCTGTGAGTTGAAAAGCTCAGGGTCCATGTCTTAACTGACCTGTCCATGTCAATCTAACTGAAAGCCTTCACCAATTACAAGCCTTTCCTGTCGATCGGTTTGGGTGTTACAGTTTTAAGGACGAGGCTGCATGATTTCTGCAGCCAGAAATAGTTCATTTGAAAACATACAGCCGCTACCAGTGGCTCCCACCTCTCATCCTAGAGACTCAGGAGGCTGAGATCTGAGGATCGCGGTTGGAGGCTGGTCTGGGCAGGAAAGTCCGTGAGACTCTGAGCTCCAGTGAATCACCCCCAAAAAAGCCAGACATGGAGCTGTGGCTCAAAGTGGTAGAGCACTGGCCTTGAACAAAAGAGCTCAGGGACAGCGCTCAGGGCCTGAGTTCAAGCCCCAGGACTGACAGAAGGAAAAAAATTACACACACACACACACACACACACACACACACACATTTGCATATATGCAATAGACTAAGAAATACTTCTCTGTTGTATCAGTTGACTTACATTGCGATCAATTCCTTTGACACACCAGGCAGGATTTAGAGGAAGATGGCAAGTCTTTACATCTTGAAAGAATTCTTCTAACCTGCCTATCTCTTCCTCCAGGACTTCCTGTGAGAGAAATAAATCATTAGGAAACAGAAGCACTTCAGAAGCCGTCAAACTGTTCCAAAAAGAAATGTGATCTAGCTTACGTAACTGGGACTCCCTCTGTTCATCATCTTGACAATACAAAAAAAAAGAAATTGTCAAGAGTTTGAGTCTTGCAAATTTTTCTTTTTCCTATTGATTAAACACCCTTTTTAGTTGTGCCAGAACTCAGGGCCTGGGTAATGTCCCTAAGGATTTTGTTTCTGTTTTGTTTGTGTTTGGCTCAAGGCTGGTGCTCTACCACCTGAATCACAGATCCACTTCTGTTTTTTTTTTGTGGCTCATTGGGGAGAAATGTCTCATGGACTTTCCTGCCCAGGCTGGCTTTGAACTGTGATTCTCAGATCTCCTGTGTAGTTGGGATGACAGGCGTGAGCCATCAGCGCCCGGCCAATCTTAAGAAAACTTTAACCTAGAATTTGTGCATTCTTACAACAGTCTAAGTTGTACTGATGTTTTAAGATGCACTGTCAGGGGTCCAAGTGTCTTTAAATTGGTCTTTTCACTGAGTACTGGTGGCTCACGCCTGTCATCCCAGCTACTCAGGAGACTGAGATCTGAGGATCACGGTTCAAAGCCAGCCTGGGTAGGAAAATCCATGAGACTCTTATCTCCTATTATTAACCACCAGAAAACTGTAAGTGGTGCTGTGGCTCAAGTGGTAGAGCGCCAGCCTTGAGCAAAAGCGCTCAGGGACAGCGCCCAGGCCCTGAGTTCAGGCCCCACGACTGGACCCCCCCAAAATAAATAAAACTTACTTGAACATACACACACACACACACACACACACACACACACACACACAATTCGTACTCTGTTAAGATTGATTTCCTGACACACCTGTCTTTGAGAGTCGCTGGCAGTTTTGACTTTTTCCGCAATGTCTCCCAGAAGGTGGACAAGTTTCCTCTCCTTGGAAAACTCCTCATTCAAGGCTTTTCCGACACAGAATTGGAAAGCAGCCAACAGCTTCTGGTACCAGCTTTGAAAATAAGGTTCATGGAGGGCATCCTTCAGCAGCCTGACACAAAGGAATTTTGGTAAATGGTAGATAAATCGATAGATGCACAGATAGACAGACAGACAGATAGATGATGGATAGATAGATAGATAGATGATAGATAGATGGATGGATGGATGGGTAGATGATAGATGGATGGATAGATAGATAGGTAGAGCTGATCTCTAGAGCTGAAAAAATTTAAGCACTTCTAGCAGAACATCTAGTGAGTACCTACTACTGTAGGTATTTTTATAGTTTAGGAGGGTGACAAATGTTGCTCGTTGTGTATGTGTGTGCGTGTGTGCACACGTGCATGTGTGTGTGCATGCATCTGCGTCAGCAGCAACCAATTTCCATCTGTCAGCGAATGCAATTCGAAAAGTAAAGAATCAATAAGAGACGGGGCAGGTTCTCATTCCCATTCATTTGCCCATATTCTATTTTCTCCTTCATTCTCTTAGGTCAAGAACAGCCTTTGACTTCTTGGAGATCATTTTGAGAAGTGGTTTCAACAGATTGGGTCCAGCATAAGCCCCTTCCCCTCTGTTTCTTTAAAAGATAATAATCACACATTTCTCCGTGATGAGGGTAATTCTTTCCTTATTATTTCTGCTTGATAACCTGGAGTATTGTCTGTCTGTCTGTCTATCATATATCTATCACATATCAATCATTATCTCTATTATCTATCTATCCATCTATTTCTGCCTATCTTCCTATCATCTATCAATCATCTATCAGCTTTCTTTCTTGAGATATCATCTGCCACCTGTCAATCATCTTTCCTCTTTCCTTCCTATTAACTCTTTACATTCTTGGATGGTCTGTACATGTCCTTACGCTGTGGGATTTTACCCACAGTGCTTGTGTTCAGAAGATGGTCCATAGAAATCCTAGTCTCCAAAAGACATCGCAGCAGCCTGGAAACTTCCATCCAATTGGGGGGAAAAACACTGAGGGGGAAAAAAGAGGGAGAAAAGCTGAAGGGTTTGAGGAGCAGCATGGCAGGTTGGAAATGCAAAGGTAAGAAAGGAGCATTTCAAGGTGCAGCATTTCAAGGTGTGGCACCTGGCCAAATTCTCCAGATCTATTAAGGCAAGAGCCAGCCAGCCGTGATTCAATTCCACAGGATCCCTGTGGCAATCCCCCCCAAAGGAAAAGTAAATGCATCAAATCTAGATGCTTCAAGAAGCTTGACACCCCTCACCCCCAGCGCTAGGCATGCTGGGTAGGCAGTAAGAGCCACGCATCAGGGATGAGAAAAACAGAGAAGGAAGTTATCTCAAGGAAGTAGATTCAGACAGAATCGTTGCATGCATGCAATGAGCATGATTTTTCTCTCCAACCTCCCCCCCCCTTTGGAAATGGAAGCTCATCTTCATATTTTTCATGGATACCGTGCTGGTGAAAATCACAGAGAAATGACAAGTTCATCAGTCAACCCACACAGGGCCGAAAAATATCATCTTATCAACCAGTTCTCTTTGCCTCCTGACTCCCTGCAGTCTTGCTCTTAATTTTAGCTTTGGAAAAATTATTATTATTATTACTATTATTATTATTATACCAGTCAAGGCCTAGGCATTGTCCTTGAGTTTTTTTTCTGCTCAAGGTCCTCTACAACTTGCGTCATACCTCCACGTCCTAGCTTTTTGGTGGTTCATGGGAGAGAAGAGTCTCATGGACTTTCTTGCCCGGGCTGGCTTTGAACCAGGATCCTCAAGATCTGAGCCTCCCGAGTTAGGTAGGATGACAGGCGGGAGCCACGGGGGCCCAATGTTAATTTTAGTTTGCAATAGAAGCACCCTAAAGGCAGCCTTTGAATTTTCTTTCTTTCTTTTTGCCCACTTTGTGGATTTCCTGTGGATGGAGAGGAGAAATATCCACTGACAGAAAAGAATACACAAGGGAGAAGGAAAGATCTGGGTCACTCCAGAGCTTTCTCTCCCATTTCCTGCCTTAGCTGCGGGTATTTTACACAAACAGATCAGGGAACAAGTATTTATGAAGTTCTTCAAGTTATGTTTACTCTGGAATAAATAAAGGCTGAAATCCAATATGGATTCCATATTAGATTCTCATCTTCCCATATGGAAATTGGATACCACATTCTGTATTTGCAATCCCATTGGATTTCCATAGGGAAATCTTGGATGTGAGGTTTCTGTTAAAACGGAATTGTACCCTCCCAAGCCTGGGACCCAATGATCAAAAAGAAAGAAAGAAACCCTGCACCCCAAATCCTGCCCCTCTTAAGAGTTGTTTGTGTCAGGTGTTTTAGACATAGAGATGAGAAAGGCTAATGAACATACTGAACTGAAAAAATAAAAACTGTCAGGAGCTCAGTGAATGAATTCGATGACTGATCATTGTCACCATACTATTCCAGGCTAAAAAGCAAAGCCACACACACACACACACACACACACACACACACACACCACAACTACCACCACCACCAACAGCAAACAACTGTAAAAGGAATGAAAATGGCTTTCTTTCATGGATCAGGACAAGTCTCAAAAGGTATTTCAGAATTGCTTTGATTCAGCTCATTTGAACACGTACATTCTTTCCCCAGTGTTGAGATTTTATTGCTATTGCATTATGAATAACACTTCTTTGTGTGTGTGTGCCAATCCTGGAGCTTAAACTCAGGGCCTGGATGCTGTCCTTGAGCTTTTTTTTTAAACCCAAGGCTGGTGCTCTACCACTTGAGCCATAGCTCCACTTCCAGCTTTTAGCTGGTTCATTGAAGATATGAGTCTCCTAGACGTTTTCTGCCTGGGTTGGCTTCAAACAGTGATCCTCAGATCTCAGCTTCGGGATATAGGCTTGAGCCACTGAAACGGGACATAATTCTGAGCACCTGCAGAATGAATAATGTGGTTTCTTTTATTTGTATTATTTTTGGAGGATGGAAGTCATTCATTCATTCCTCCTCCAGTTCTTCCTCATTTGGGAAATTGGAGCAGACACCATAAATCCTACAGACCTGGAGTCCTGTGGTTTGGTTTATGTGGACCAAAATGGAGCTGGGAGGTGGGGGTGGGGGGGTTATGGGACAGGAAGTGGAGGGGCGGGGCTAAGGGAAGACTGACAGCCTGGTGGAACTCTAGGCTTGAGGGATGTTTAAATCAGCCCCACGGATAACTCTACTTTTGCCCTGATTCATCACAAATATAGCCCTGAGTGCCTGTTTTTTTTGTTGTTGTTTTTAAGGATATAGTTATTTATTTATTTTTGGAATGCAGGTGCCATTGTTTTAAAGGCATGTGTTTTTTAAATAAATTTTCTCTTGAACAAAATTTCCTTAAAAACAAAAAACCAAAAACCAGCATGGCTATTTCCCTTTTTGCTTTCTAAATATTTCTTAAAAATAGCAACCCCAAAATGTATATATATATATGTGTATATATATGAATATATGTGAATATATATATGAATATATATACATATATACGTATATATACATATATATGTATGTATGTATGTATATATAATATATATATATATATATATATATATATATATATGTTTCTCTCCTCTTTACCCCTCAGCCTTTTGTTCTTGCCCAAGCCGCTGGGGAAAAGCTGGGTATTTCATCAGATTGTGCAGTGAACAATTTCCAAGTGTTTGAACTCAGCCAGAGAGGCAGGTTAGGTTGCTAAGGGCAAGGCCAACGCTGGCTTTGAAATGCTGAATCCTCCTGCAACTTCAGCCACACATCACCGCTGGACTGGCAGCTTCCCCCTTCGTCTCCACAGAAATTCCGAGACAGCGTGTTGTAGTCTGTGAACGCTATTCAAAGGTTGATTGCCTCCCGGGATATTTATCCCTGAGACATTGGGAGCTGTGTTTGATGTTCTAAGAAAGCTTTCTGGAACATTCTTGTTCATCTTCATGAAAGAACTCGGACTCTTGAAGTTGGCTAGACCCATTCAATCTCCTTCCTTTTGGAAACTAAATAAAGACTGTACCCATGTTCTCTGATTCTGTTTTCGCTTCCCGGACTAGTTTGATGTGATTATTATTTTTTTCTTCTTTTTCTTTGCTGGTGCTGGGCCTGGGCACTGTCCCTGAGCTTCTTTTGGCTCAAGGCTAGCTTTCTACCACTTGAGCCACAGCACCACTTTTGACGTTTTCTGAGTTGTTTATTGGAGATCGGAGTCTCATAGACTTTCCTGCCCAGGCTGGCTTTGAACCATGATCCTCAGATCTCAGCCTCCCGAGTAGCTGGGATCACAGGCGGGAGTTTACAGCTTGCAGCTTCTATTTTAATCTCTCCATGTGCAATGCCCGTAACTTTGACAGCTCTGTTATTAAAGCTGATTCTCCTATGCACTGACCTGCGTTGCTGTCCCAGGCATGCAAACCCTGAGCAAACAACACCAGAGCTGAATACGTTTGAAGTCAGGGAGTTGAGGGCAGACACAAAGATTTTATAACATCATAGGGGTGAGATTGGGGTCCATTGAGTTTTTTTTGGGGGGGGTGTCAGTTCAGAGTACAGGGCTCATAGATGGGTTTAGATACGCAAGGACATTTTTACATTTTATTTTCCTGAAAAATAGCTGTGTGTGTGTGTGTGTGTGTGTGTGTGTGAAACCTCTTGTTGTCCATTTGCTGGAGTCCATTGGGATCAATATTCTTTTCTATGATCAGAGATGCCTTTGTATTCCTCCCCTCAGAGTTTCCTCCTCGGGCCTCCCTGTGTGGATGTCTAGAGTCCTGTGTCACCTGTCCTGTCATTTTTAATTTTGACAAGCTAGGTAAGCCCTCACGGCTAGGACAAAGTTTATATGATACCAGAGAATCAGTATTTCTTTCAGATTTTTTTCCCCCATGCATGAGCAATTTTTTTCCAAAAGAAACAGAGGTATAAGTTCCAAACTCTGGTCTCTAGAAAGATGCATGGAAAGAACTTAGTTTGCATTCAGAAGACTTTTTTTTTAAATTATAAAAGCAACTTAACATGTTGTAAAAATGGCAAATTCCTTTAAATCACGTCTTTGTTG